AAACCTTTTTTAGCCTTTAAATCTTCTCTGTGCTTGCCTTTTTTCCTCTCAACCAGTATCTCCTTTTTTTTTATCCCTTTTTCTTTTAATCCGTGGGTCCTTTTATAGGGATTGATCAGAAGAGTTTCTGATCAATCCCAACTCTTCTTTGGATCGAGATTCAATCATTGAATCTAATATGGATTCTGATTGAATCCCAACCCAATCTTCAGTCGAAAAAAAAAAAGAAATCAAAAAAATAAAGAAAATCAAATAATAATAAAAAAATATTAACAGATAATTAAATGAAAATAATCAAATAAACCAAGAGATTAACAGATAAATTAAAAATAATAACAGATAAATTATAACATATAAATAGATAAATAATAAATATATAACTAGGTAAATAAAATATATATATAAATATTAACAAAAAAAAAGAAAGAAGAAAAAGAAAAAAAATAATAAAGATATATATATTAATAAATAGTAATAATAAATAATAAATAATAAATAAATAAAAGATAAAGAAAAAATATATATATATAGAAAATATAAAATAAAATATAAAATATAAAATACGAAAATAATAAAAAAAAGTGGACCAACTCATTTGGACCAGGCCCAATTGATCCAGGCCTAGACCAAATTGGGTGTCTACACTATCAATTAACAATGAATGCATTAATCATAAACAATATGTCACATAGTCAATTTATAGCATACTTTTAATGACATCATTGTTAAGTAAATTTCTAATATCTTTGTATTCAAATGAAGTGTATAATCAATGTCAATGTTTTTTGTGTTCATTCTCACACCAATTCATCTAGTTGTGATTTCTCACATAATTCTCGTTAACATAATTCTCGATAGGTTGTTTTTTCAACCTTTCTTTTCATTTTACTTGTACATGATCCTTTGATCAAATACTAAGTCACAGTTAAATGAAAAAAAAAATCAAATAATAAGTCTTCAAAATATATCCATCTTTTGAATAAACTTCAATAAAATATATTTAAATATAATCATGCAATCAATCAATCATCTCAATATAATCATTATGCTAAAGTCACATAGCAAATTCTCATCATATTTAAAATATTATAAGAATATATAAAATGTCCAAGTAAATTTCAACACCTCTAATTATTAGCAAACATATTTAGAAGTTTTATTCAAAGAAGAATAAACATCGTCATTGACTTTGGTATTTTTGATCAAGAGATATATCACTTTTGTTTTTAAGTCAACCATTTTGTATTGAGTTCATATTTTTTGAAACTCAATAGTTGCCACTGACAACTCTTTAAAAATGAAAGAATATCTTTTGATAATGTTTCAGCATTGTACAAATGTTCAAACCAAAAATTAAAATGTCACTCTAAGACAATAAATTGCCATGATTAGGCAACTTGTTGCTTTTTTGCATTTTGTTTCCAAAACTTAGTTTTCTCAATAAATATTCTAAGTAATCAATTTTCATAGTTGATTACTTCTTTTGAAAATATCTCATGAGTAATATTTTGGTCATGAAACTCTTTCTTTCACTTCCCTTGATCATATACCAACATATAAGCTAACACTCAAATCAATCAATGACTACTATAAAAAAAAAAAAATCAATCAATGACAATCAACTATATTCTCTTTGAAAACCTTTAGCCCATGATCTTAAACGAAAATGTTAAAGCCGTTAATCATGCAATTAAACATATCACCATATAAATTAATTATAATAAGTAAATTACTAACCTTAGTGTACAGGAACATTAAACTCTTTAGGACACTTACCGCTTGCTTTTTTATTTTTGAACCATACTTACTCTTGTTGAATTTGGGATTTGTAGAACAAATCCAAATAAAATGACTTTATGTCATAGTCAAAATAAAACATGAGGGAAAACCAATTTTACTCTTCCACAATCGCTTCCACAATAAAGTAGAGAGTTATTGAAAAAATAACTTTATGATTGTTGGCTCAACACCAAGAACATTCTTAATAGCCTTCCATACAATATTCTTGATTTCATGATCAAGAACTTGAACATAATGTTGCCATTGAAGGAGATTTATTATCCATAAATTTTTGTATATTGGGTAAAGTTATAGGAACAAAATCAATAAAGTACGCAAAAAATACAGAATTAGAGAAGAAGAAATTGATATTTGGGCAAGAAATTTTCTTAAGAATAATAGTCTCCCTAATGCAATGCAAATGGATTCTTGGAGACGTTATACCCAGGATAAAATGCCTAAACTTGAAGAAGAAAATGATTGCACTTCATGTTTTTCTTGAACTCATGTGAACCATGAACCAAAAAAAAAAAAAAAGAGCATAGGAAGATAAAACTGTTTTTGATCTTTAAGAATGAAAAGATGTAAGGTTGTTATAATTGTGTTTAGAGAAATATTTATAGACCTCATAAAGTGTTTCAAACCACCTTACACATCAAAACATCATTCAAATGAATTGATGCAACTTTTGGAATGAAAGAATTCCAACATACTTATATTTTAGTCTTCAAGTGTGGATATTCGAATGTTTGCTTTCCAAAATGTGGGTATTCAAATACTCAACCAAGGTATTCGAATGCCTATTCTTTAACTTTCAAATTTTGTCATTGTAAAACATAGTATTCGATTTCCCCTTACTTATTTCATTCCAAACATTATTTTATACTTTTAAAATACAATTTTATCAACAAATGCATTCTACATGATTTAGAAAACAACAAGAAAAAAAAAAAAAAAGAAGAAAGTCAACTTCATACCAACCAAATCAATGATCTTTTTATATTATTAAAATAAATATTTCATGAAATATTTTTTTTTGTTAATGTTTGATTGATTTAAATTATGTAAATTACACTCGTTCATAAATTCATCGTAAGTTTTGATGACAGATTAATAGTGGTAAATTTAATCTTTAATCATTAATTTAAATTTCATTATATTGAAGCTTTGGGGTTTTTAGGTATATATTTTCTAGTTGATTTATTCAAGAAAATTTCACTACTCAAGGAATAATTTTAATCATGCTTTCTTCTTCTTATTCTTTTACCCGTCTTTTCTTTCTTGAATATTTTAAAAATTATATTGAAAATTTTTTAACACTTAATAGTCTTTTTAAATATTTTAAATTTATTTTTTATGAATTTTTATTTTTCACATTAAAAACTTGGAAGATTTATTTATAAAAAATAAAATTTCTTATAAAATACATTAAAATTAAAGTTTTTGTTTTTTAATTTATTTTAAATCAAGGAGATACAATATAAGATGGAGGGAGCATTATATTATCATATTATTAAATTAATGGAGAAGGATCAATAAATGAACTTAATAATTACTTATAACATTGGAGAAAATTAAAGTTATTAATTAAAAAGAAGTACTAGGTTATGTCGGGGTGAATTGTTTTTCAACAAAAATTTTCATTGTTTTTAGTATATATATGATCATTATTATAATGTAAAAATAATTAAAAATTAATTCATAAAATGAAATTTTATAAAAATATTTAGATATAACATTTCATATATTGCAATTATGTTTTGTTGTTAGATTTTTGTGTTGGGTAATGAGCATTATATTTTTTTTATTAATTATTTAATCAAATTTATTATTTTTTAATTTATTGAAATTTATAAAGTTTCTTTTTTTTTTGTGAGAACGTCCAAAACAAAAGAAAAAAAAATAACAAAAGTATAACAATTATAAATTTTAATGAAATGATTTTGATTTTGATTTTGTTTTGACTTTAATTTCTATTTTTATGTAGTTTTATATTTCTATTGATTATTATTATTTTTTAATATTTTAGTTTTTATTTTGTTACAAATAATAAATAAAAATTATGTTTTAATTCTTTCTTTTGCTTCCCTTTTCTTTTTCCTTTCTTTTCTTGCATTTTTCCTTTTTTTTTTCTCTTCTTTTCTCTACACAAAGCATAAAGAATATGAGATATAATCAATTGATTCCTTTAAAAAATAAATAGCAAACCAAACTACCACAACTAAAAGTTTTCTGTTTAAATTGTGTATATTTCATCATCTTTTATAGTCGTTCCCTCTTAAAATAATTGTCCCTTACTGACTTTTTTTATAAAAGTAACTTAACTTGGACCTTCATTTTTTAAAAAATATTATATTAACTTAATAATATGTTTTGAAAATTTTGAAATTCAAAGTTTACAAATCTTATTTGTAAAAGTATTTTGATTTTATAATTTTATTAAAAAGAATGATTAAAATTGATTTAATTTTAAAAAAAACGGTCAATAAAGTATAATAATTTCAAGACAAAGGGAAAAATAAATTTTAACAATTCATTAACATAAAGAAAGCCCAACCCATTATTATACAAAACGTATTCATCTATCAAACTTGAGCCCATACAAAATACAACCCAAAAATTTTCAACCCTATTAAAGTTTACAATTGCATCCTACAATAGTTACTCGCTAAATGTTAACAAATAGAAATTCAATTGAAAGTGATAAATGTAGATAATATAAGGGATTATTGGTATTAACTATAGACAATTAGAGTTATTATTATTTTTTGAACAGATTTAGAGTTATTATTATTGATTATTGATATCAACTATAGATAATTATAACTTAAAAAAATATATATAGACAATTATATTAGGGGCTACAAAAACATGGATAGAGAGGAGTGTTAATTTTACCAATTGTATTTTTTAAAACATGTGGAGAATAATTCAAAAAAGAAAAATACCTTGGACATAATTATTGCCGATTGGATTGAAGTGATGCTCCCCATCTTCGAGTTTCCATGCCGATATGAAAAATAGGGGGCGATTCTCCTGGATCTTGACCAAACACTCATTGTCCTCACGATATCCAGGTGTAGACCAATTCAGCCTAAGTGGAAATGGAAAAAAGCCATTTGTTTCCAAGTGGGATCGCCACTGATCCAAAGTATGGTGTCGCACAATTCTATTCCTACCTTCACATCCCCTATATTATGTATATATCGCCTTAAACAATTCTATTCTTTATAGCTTAGATGTAGACGAAAAACATGAGAGTAATATTGAAAAGAGTCCTCAAAGCGTGTAATGAAATCGGAGTGATTATAGTTAGCATCATGCTCTTGTATTATCACAATGTCCGGCTTTATATCCCTCAACTTTAACATCTCTCTCTCCATTACTCCTGCCTCTGTCAGCAACGTACAGAGTTTAAAGAAATAGAAGAAGACCACAGCCTCATCCTCTGTTCTTCTGAAATCCAACATAGACGCATCCACTTCTTTCAAACTATTAGCGTAAACCACTTCTAACTTCTCCAACCTTACTCCATATATCTTGGCCTGCACAGTGACATACTGCTGTTCTTCTTGGACATTTACAATTTTTTTCAGGGACCGTGGTAATATGACACTTACACGGACTGATAGGAGATTGGCTAGATACGGACTGATAAGACATCCATATAGATGTGGTATGCGGAAATCAACGAGGTGCACTCGCTTCTTTCCCACCACGGCTTTCTTGATGGCATCTTCTACAGGAATATACCAATACAGAAAATCTAATGGAGAACCCATCTGCAATTTGAAATTGTCAAAGTCAGGATGGAGCCCGTACGCTCGGCGAACTAGAGCTTCCGCAAAGTATTTCACAACGTTGCTTTGTTGTTCGTTGGGTTGGTAAACAGTAAGAGTCCAGATCTGCTTAAGTAGTGAATCGGCCAGTTTCAGATCCCCATCTTCAATAGCTCGAGCGCAGTCTAGTAGGACCGGAAAAGCAGAAGAGACCATCACTGTAGGCAAATACTAGTAGAAACTTGGGGTTGAAGGATGTAGCTACCGATAAACTCGAGAATACAAATAGAAGCTGAAATTACTCCAGCCAAAGCAATAGCGCGTCATTCATTGTTGTGGTGGTCCCCAGTTCCCACAATTCACGCGTATTGACAGACCAACTGTTTGGACATTGAACCTCTTTTTTCATTTTGCATTTTTTTGTTCATCGAAGTAACCTTCTCTTTCTAGAAATTGCTACAACTATAACTGCTACTATCTTTTTTTCATTGACCATAAATTTTCCAATCAAAATATGAGTCGCATTTCATTTTGTTTCTGTACAAAATTTTCAATATAACGTTTACTTTCAGTGTAAATTTGAATTTTATGTTTCTACTTTCTCAATTCCACCTAATTTCGTCATTTGATTCTAATTTTAATTAATTTTTTTCTTGCATTTTTATTAAAAAACGAAATGATCTAAAAATAATTGATAAAGATTTTTATTTTTAATTTGATGATATGGTATTTTAATAATGATAAAACATGCTAAGATGCATTAATTTCTTGTTTGTATCAAATATATTAATTTAACAAATTTATATTTTTAATTAAATAATAAAAATATTTGTTTGTACTTTTTAATTAAAAATATAGTTGTAGATCTCAATTTTTTTTTTTTGAAATATGTTAACTTTCTTACCTCTGATTTATGAAGGACCAAAGAAAAGTTTAATTGCTCCAAATTTTGGTTCGACAAGGAATCCACCTTGTTTTAAACATGAGTTTGGATTCGTCAACCAAAACAAAGAAAAAAATTATGCACTATCCAAAAAGTTTTTCTTGGGTTAAATATAAGAAAAAGTCTTTTAATAAAAATTAAATAATTATCAAAATTTTTATTATTTTATTGTATTTAATTGAATAATTAAATATTTATTTTCTTTAATTAAATTTTCGATTTAAAAAATTGAGGGTTAAGTAATTTTGTCTAATAAAGACACAATTAGTAAAAATAAATTAGAGGCTTAATTAAGTATAATAAAATGATAATAACTTCAAAGATTTTTTAATTTTAATCAAGAAACTTTTTTTATGCTTACGTTTTTTTTTTTTTCAATAGTCATAAGAGCCCTAAATTGTTATCCTTTTCAAGTCATGCCCACATTTGTATTCTATGAAAAATTAAAAACTACAAATTAAGTCCATCATATCTTCGGAAATCTTGACTATAGCTTACATTATTTTTCTTCTTTTCACACCAGTAAGAGAGTCTATAAAGCTGTAAACTGATTTCATCCTTTGTTAATGCTATTTTACTTGTTCCTAATTCGGTTGTCCGGTTACATTTAATAAGCTTTGTATTTTATTTTTTTATAAAAAAATCATAATTTAAAAATAAAAAATTATAACTGTTAAAATTTAAATTACTTACTGATACTATCTTTTTAAAATAATTATATTAATTAATTAAATTAAAATTTATATTTTATTTTTAGATAACTTTGGCAACCAACCTAAAAGTATCCAACATCCGTTATTGTTTCTTATTCTCAAAATTTTTTATTTTAATTTTTAATTCATCTACTTACAAATAGCCAACCAAAACTCCAATTTTAGCGACGCCCTTCTCTTTTCCATTTAGTAGTACACTTTGATACATAACAAATTAAAATTAGTGGACATTAATCCACAGTAGCAATCATCCTTGCAGCAGTAACATTCATCTACAACATCATTGTTGTCCCTCTCTACTAATTAATTTATTATCTTTTGCGATTCACAAGCAGTAACACATAATAATAGCATCAAGTTTTATTGTAACATGCCTACAAGTATAAGTTGGGAGACAGTTGAAAAAAACTAATTTATATAATGAACTTTCAAATGATATAACAGATCTAGATTGTGTAGAAAAGGGTATGAAAAAAATCGAGGAAACATATTTAAATTGTATTGTTCGATTTATTATTTTTTAATAAAAAATATTATTGATTTGAATAGATATTAATTTATGATAAAATTTTAAATTGTAAGTTATGATATTATTGATTATTTAAATGAAGAGTATTAGTTATATATTAATTAATGTTTAAATTTGTTAAAATTAATTGAAGTATAAAATAACATATGAAGTTTTTTCTAATCAATCATTATTGTATTTATGATAATCATATTATTTTTCAAGAGTAATGTTACCAGTAATATTAATATTAACATGTATTAAAATTCATATTAAATATATAAATTAAAAAAGTTTTTATATCAATTAAAGAATGAAGCCACAACACCACGCCACAATATGCTAGAAAAAAAATATAATGGATATTCAATCTAACTTGTATTAATTATTATTCTAATTTGCATAAACCAAGTTACAACATAATTTTATTAAAATATTTTTATCAAGAGATTTTATTAAAAATCTAAATCATTAACAAAGATAATATTAAAATAAAAAATGATAGCCTTCATCTCTTTGATTTAATGGTTAATTTAGAAAGACAAAGGTTTTAGTTTTGAACCAAAACTCCTCTTCATTCTTACGAACTATGTCCATTCTATTTATAAAGAAAAATGGCAACCGATTCTTTGGCAGATCTCTTTCTCTTCTCTGTTTTCTCAAATTTTTACGTTGAATTTTAAATGCCTTTCTTTAGATCAACTAAACGATAGTGAATACTAATCAAACTCAAAATTTATATATGATTTTGGCGTGAAATTATCATCAATGTTTGGAAATTAATAATAAAGAAAGAAAGGCTGAATGGTGGTTGAAAAAATAACAAGGAAAAGGAGGTTATGTTTAGCTGTAAAATTATTCTCTTATTATTTTTTATTTAATTTTACGAATTAAATGAGAATCAAATGATTTAGTTTCATGTTGAATCGAAATTTAATTTCTTTGTTATATATATTTTTTTATTGAATGAAAAGTTAACTACAGTAACAAAATTTATATAAAAATTAAATTTATTAAAAAATTAATATATTTAGTTAAAATATTTAAAACAAAATTTATGTATTTATTATGAATTAGGCTTTTGTGATTATGATCAAGACACAACAAAAGATTTTTTGTACCAAATTGACTAAAGTAAAATACAATCGATAAAGTACAAGCATAACAACTATATATGTAGTAGCTCTGCTAGAATCATGGAGGAACTTTTCCACTCAAGAATTTGCAAATCACTATAACAAACAAGGAAAGGAAAAATAGAGTCCATGTAGCAAATTTTAGGTTCAGCGGATAAGGAATTGTAATGGCATGGCAAAATGCAGCGGCGGCTAGGAACAGAGCAACTTTTTCTAACACTATGGAAGTTCTGGTATGTTTTTGGCCGATAAAAAATGCAACCAAGAGAAAGGAAAATGTAAGCAAGACAGCAAATGAAAGCAACACAAAGGAAGAAGGTAGCTCCTTGGGTTCATCAGTTTGTGAACACTGGAGGGAGATTCCAAGCGCAAAAGAAAAGCAAAATGTCAAGATTGCATTCTGCCATTGATGATGCGTTTGAACTTGAGCAGTAAATAAATTAAGTAGTTCTGACTCCTGGTTGAAAGAGGGTGACGGTGGTGATGGGGGAGGCAGTGACGGCGGTGATTCTGCGTCAATGACACTTGGAGATGGTGGCAATGATGACTGGAACTGTGTTGGGTGTGACCTTGATGTGTCCGATTGAGGATGAAGTCCAAGGACAAATGATACAATCAAAGCCAGAAACGCCTTAACTTTTTCTTGAATAAAGCTCATCATCATGTTCATTTGTATTGTACCCAAGAATCAAACCTTGTCATATATATAGATACAAGAGCAGATCACCAAGTTATAATGCAAGGAAAATTGGAGAAAAGTGGAAAAAACTAACAGAAAGATCTAATAAAATGTACAAAGCCCTTGAATTTAAGTCGGATCCGATAGAGTTCGATTGAGGGTGGACTCTTGTGGTCTTTCACACTTTTGCTTGGTTTCTGTACAGAAACAATTTTGGAACAACAAAATCGGATAAAATAAGCTCCGGTTTCCTCCGAAATAGACCATAAGAAATATATAAATATTTTACAAAATGAGATAGTAAAAGCTTAAGCTAAAGGTAAATGAAAAATAAGATAGACACGTGCTACGTCCACAACTTACAAAGAAACGCGGTTTATATATGAATTATAACAAAAATATATTTCATATTTAACAAATGTATATGAATTATAATATGTAATTTTTATATAAAACACATATTTTACACAAAACAAATATATAAATTAACATTTCTAATTTCTTTAAAACCATAACATCCTTACAAAATCATAGCAAAGGTTTATAGGTCTATAACGAGACCAAAGACAGATACAGATAATGGAGTGCAGCTACCCCATCCTCTTTTTTTTAACGTTTTAATTAAGACTATCTAAGATTATCTTGGAAAATAGTTTCAAAACCCCACTCACCTCCCAAAAACAATAATGTATGGCAATTTGATGACCTAAATTTTCAAGTTGTTTATTACTTCAAAGACAATTGTAGAATAAATTATAGAATCAACTTCTCTAAACACATATGCTTTGATTATACGAAACTTCTTGAGAAATTTTTTATATATAAAAGCAGACCCTGAATTCAAAGACCATCTCGCTCCTTTTTCTACACTTTGCCCTTCGCTTTTGTCTCTATCTATTTGCCTTTTTTTCTTAGAACTTTAGTCGGCTGTGTATAACATAAGGCTAAGGGAGTGGACTTCAATTATGTCCGAAAAGTCGTTGGCCCCTAATTTTTTCTATTAGCCTTTATATACAGCTTTTTTTGGCTTAATGCAACTCCTCTAGTATTTTTCTTTTTTTTGCTTAATGAAATATGAAATATATATATATATATATATTTGGTTATCAAAATAAAAGAGGAAATGCATTTTTTTTTCCAACTTGCTATTTGGCTCTAAATTATTAGGTTTTGTAAGTAAAAATTTCTGACGGTGCAAATCAAGTGTTTGTAACGAAAGCACTCCCCTTGCATTTTT